TTAAATATATATATATTGGCTGATGGTGCAAATTTTGAAGTGCAAGGAAAATTCATGTGATGGAGAGATAAAGGGAGGAAGGAAGAAGAGGGAGGGAGAATACATTCCTTTGAAAATGTATTTTCTTTGCAATTTGGCAGAGAAAATTAGATCACAGCATCACCAAAAACCAAGACAAATAGCTGTAAACCTTCTGACAAGTTGGAATCATTAGACTGCATTTGCAAGCTGAGAATGAGTATATGATGAATACTATTATCAAATGCTACACAACTCTGGCCATGTTCTCAAAGATAAATACACTCACAGAGGGAGTATAGAAAACAAATGAACACACACACAAACATACATACACACACTCACACTTCAGAAAACAGAAAATCCTATAAAATTTTCCTTAGTTGAAAGGTCCCATTACAAAACAGAAAGGAAAAAAATACCACCATAAGACTCAATCCCTAAATAGCTTCTTCCAAGTCTAGAACTTCCATAAGTCTTCCGATTGGAGGGCACATGCTTTTTTGCACTTCACCGTGGGAGGGGTTATCACTTCTATTCACAGAGGTGGGAAGGGCTTGAAACTGTTGTAGGGAATGTTGAAAACTTAAATGTGTAGAAAATATACTTATGGCTCTTAAAGGAGCAAGCCATTGGTGTACGTCTCACATGCTGTACATATGTTGTGTATTTCCTAGGTGTATGTCATCTGTGCTGTAGTTATATGCTGTGTACAAAGCTGTTGCTTGGGTGTGTTATATGACAAACACATAAGTAAGTTTTATGTAAACCATAACTTTAAATTTCTTTTACTGTGCAATGTAAAAGTTCCTCAGTCCTGACATTCTGTTTAGAAGCTTAGAAATAACACTTTCTTTCCATGTAGGTGTCTGTGGTTTGGTCGCTATAGTTAGTAGATGTTTGAATTTGGCATAACATGAGTTTAGAACACCATACAAGAAAAAGACATAACAAATGTTAACTTCAACGGTTTTCTCTGGATCAATGGCTGTGGGGCACAGACATCCTCCCAGGGGTGCTGAGGAGTTGCATCGATCCAGCCACATAACTCATAAGAATCTCTTTTCAACACTCAAGATGTTCAGCTAAGTTCAACAGTGACGCCTGTCGCTGGCAAAGCTAATTGGCATGGGTAAATGTAGATTCATTAGCATGTTATTCTAAGCCCAAATCGCTATCTGTTTTCATGTTATAAAAGATTTAGGACCTTGGTGAGGGGGCTACATGTAGTATACATGACAAAATTACATCCTAATGTTTTTTAAGCAGTCTCTTAATGACCCATCGATTGGTGAGGTGAGCCACCTAATGCCACAAGTTTCAGTGACCTGCAGATATCCTGCTTTAAGCAATTCTTTCTTTCTTGAAAGAGTCAAAATATTTACAGAAAATTTTTTCTGGCATGGTTCCTCAGTAACCTAAGCAAGTACAGGAAATGAAAAGCACAATAATTTACATAATGCTATCTATCCCATTGCCAATTAAAAGAACAGAACCAGAAAATTAATATAAAAACTAGAAATACCCTTGTCCTGGCAGGTATCCCTAATATGATTGATTATGCTTTCTATGGCTAAATCCAGACACATCAATTATGTAAGAAAAGAAGCTTTTATTAGGAAAGTCAATCTGTCTGACTTAAATAACTTAGGTTTGATTGTCCTGGTTATACATATCTTATTATTAAGAAAGAGTTAATTTTCAGTGTGCTGAAGAAAATAGGTTTCTGCACATTAATCAGTAATATGGATTGAGGTCAAACTTAAAAGCATAGGGATTTATTTTATCTTTTAAGACACTCAGTAAAACTAGCATGTTTTAGAGTCATAATGACTTAATTGTGGCTGGGTGTTTTGCTAGCTTGAAGTCATAGGGAATATCTTTAATCTTCATCACCTAGTTCTCATCTTTTTTTTAAAATTGAAGTTAATGGCACTTACCTTAGAGAACTGACAAGTGTCCAGGACCCTGTTGATACTTAATAAATGGTAATGTGTTATTACAAAAAGAATATAAGATTACTGATTTCTTATTCACAAAGCTTTGTATTAATTATACAATGTTCATAAGTAGTGATCACAAAATAATGTAATCTCTTAATTTGATGTGTGTCATGAAATTATTTAATACACCAAACATATAAAGTACTATTTATTAGTTTCATATTACAAAAAAGAAACTAAGGAACAGAGAAGTTATGTAATATTCTCAAGGTCATTCAGCAGGAACAGGAGCCAAACTCTGCTATATGACTGCAGAACAGACACTTCAATAAAAACTTGCAAATACTTGTGTAAGCGTTCACCTGGCAAACACAAGGCCCCATTTCTTGTCCTAGGCACAGAATCCAAAACATCAAGCATCCCTAATCAATACACTGAACCTATAACCTTTAAGGAGTTTCCAATATGGCGACTGGAAGCAATTACATCACCTGAAAACTATGACTCAAAACCTGTGCTGTTTCTCTGGTTAAGAAAACAAAAGGTTTTCTTCAAACTCCTTTTATTTAAGAAGCATGAAAAACAAAACAAAACAAGACAAAAAAAACCCTGATCTAACTTGTTTACTGAATTACTCAAGGTGTCTGCAGTTCTAAGTGGAAATAAAATTGTTATCTTTATGTTAAGGTCTTTTATGTGATTGCTATAATGTATCTAACATCAAATTGGGGCATGAAAGAAATGCCTTTCTACCAAGAATACCAACTGTTGGATCAAAATGTAGATCCAGGTTCAAAGAAGGTCATAAAAGCAAAGGAAAATAGGCAAAAAAAAACAACAACAACAACAACAACAACAAAAAAACAAAAAACAAAAAACAAAACCCGCTTAGACACAAAGAACAAAGGGTAATCAGGTAGATATGAAATTATTGTCTCTATTTTTTGTATATTTTCTTTATCTGTCCTGTTACTGTTATGGGTCCATTAACATTTCCCATTCTTTCAAATGCACAAATATGTTAGGTAGGCTTATGAGAGATTACCTGAAATGATTTTATGAGCTTTAAAAACAAGGTTACTGTCATGTACTCTAGAAGGACAGACTACTTATGTGTCATCAAGCCCCCAAAAGAGTTGTGTATAATTCATGCAACACACATAAAGCAAAATGACTATGTTGAAATAAAATGCTAATCACATTTCCATTTTAAGCATTTGCTTCAAGAATTATACCTCTGATATAAGCAATTATGTAAATTAAAACTGGACTAGAAGCTTAGCAGTTGTAGGATCTGCCTTTTATTCATTTTAGAGGGAGAAACAAATTGTTCAGAAGCCAAGTGGGCTGGTCAAAGTAATGGAATACTTTTCAGTTCAGCTTAGGTGAAAGCTGCTCAGAAGAGAATTTTCTGCCTCCTTTTGCAATGAACAATGGAAACCAAAAGATAACCAGAAACACAGGGAAAATGGGAAGAATTTTATAACTGTCTTTCCAAAGGCAACTGGCATGTGATACAAAACTGTCTGCTTTGCAAATAAAAACCTAGGTAGGTATGACACGTCCCTCGTTCCCTGCAAAATGGAGCACGCTTAGGGATCACACAGCACGCTGCTCACCTGAGTCTGTCTGTCTGCTGGCAGCCCTTAGCATGTGGCTGAAATCTGCAGGTGTTCTCTCAAGGTCTGTTTACTTCCTGATCCTCCTTTTCACTGACTGTAATCCATTCATTAAAATGTGCATCCCTCGTATGTTTTGAGGTTGATTTTACTTTTCCACTGTTGTGATGGTGACAGTCTTGCTGTGGACTCTGGATGTTTTTCTTTTTCTTTTCTAATTGAGGAAATCTGAAGGTATCTTGTAGAAAGACTTCAAGAACACTGATTCTCAGTTGCTTATGTACAGAACATGTTTATATTGCTTTTTTCAGTTCATTTGTTGGCTTGCTGTTTCTCAGTGAAAGAACTGTAGAGAAGCGTCTTTAAAAAATTATTACCAAACAACTGACATTTAATTCAGATCATGCCTTATTGTGGCTTCTGTGTAACATTCCAAAGATATTTTCCTTTTTGATTCAGTCATTATGGGATAACATCAATGATTTACATAAAACGTAAAGAAAAAAAAGCATTTGGTAATTCATTTCACTTCTTTGTAGTTTTAGACTTAATTTGTGCGGCTTATTCAAATAGTGATTTTTTTTTTTCTTATGAAATCATGTAAGTAGGAACCATCTGGAAAGGTTATTGTAGAAACGGCAGGGCCCGAGGGGGTGGGGCTAAAGAGCAAAAGATGCCATGACAACCTTTTTCGGGTTTCCCAGGAAACATGGGTTGCTATGGGAACTGCATCAGTCAGGTCCGAATTAGTAACTTCCGCTGGAAGGGGTGTCTGCCACTTTAATCTTCTTGTGATACTGCAGAAGCCTATCTCTCAGATGCATTAGGAATTTTTGTTGTTTCTCTCGGCAGCACTGAAAACGAGTTTCTAGACTTTTGTAGATATTGGCTGGCACACATCTTCACAACTTCACTGGAATCTAATATTTTAAAAACACTTTGCAAACTCCAAAGAGTTAATAGTCAGATCACGATGTTTGGGCCATTTCCCTTTTGGTTCAAAGTGAACTTGAACCTGAAATTCTTAGAGGAGAGATTCAAATAGAAGGATCAGTCAAAAACAAAATGAATTTATGGCGGGCTTATAAGTCATTTCTCTACTTAGACTTTCCATCCACACATCCAGAGGTTAGGTAATTAAACTAAACAGTCAAGAAATGATATTGAAAGGTCCATCAAACATGAGTATCGTTTAAGCGAGGGCCTCTTTACTTAGTAAAGAAACAACTGTCTTTTGATTTTGAGGTTAAACAGTTACTCCGATTCTTCTTTAGTTTCATTTCCTCCCAGGATGTAGTTTTTCATAGGGCGTGCACTAGAAACCAAGCTTAATGTAAGTTTGTTGGTCACAAAATTAAGAAACAGGGGGAGAGAGAGAGAGGAAAAAAAAAAGAGCTGAGAGAATGCAGCCCACTTGCAAACAGGCCCTGTTTCAGTATGAAGCAATAGGGAGAGGGAGAATGAAGTGTGCTTTTCCACTTCTTCACGTACGTTCCTTGATGAATAGTCTGGAAATGTATAAATCAAGGGCATACACAGACCACGGGGGCATGTTCCACACAATACTGGGCATAGAATGCCAATCGTATCGTATATTAGACATCAGTGAATATCTTTTTGATGTTGACACAGGAGTTGGGGTTATTGTTCGTGGTGCAAGTGGCAGTGGAGTTGCCCGTTTTGAAGGGGGTCTGGGGGAAAGCACTGTGGTTCATACCCCCCTCTTCGATCACCATATACTCCGACTTACTCAGAGTGGAGTTACTCCGGGCTTTTCGGAGCTCCTCAGCTGAAGAGGAGAGGTGCTGGCAACTTCCCACGTGCATGTACTGGGCTTGCTCTTCCCCTTCAGTCTCCCGGTGGTAGAAGTAATTGAAGTTGGAGACAATTACGGGGACTGGCAATGCGATGGTCAAAACACCTGCGATGGCACAAAGGGAGCCCACAATCTTGCCTCCTATGGTCACTGGATGCATGTCACCATAACCGACAGTTGTCATGGTTACCACTGCCCACCAAAAGGCATCCGGGATACTGTTAAAACCCGAGGAAGGGTCGTCTGCCTCAGCAAAGTAGACTGCACTGGAGAAAAGGATGACCCCAATAAAGAGAAAGAAGATGAGCAGCCCTAACTCTCTCATGGACGCCTTCAATGTCTGCCCCAGGATCTGCAGCCCCTTAGAGTGGCGGGAAAGCTTGAAGATTCGGAAGACCCTCACTAGGCGGATGACCCTCAGGATGGCCAGCGACATGGCCTGCTGCCCGTTACCCTGTCGCTCAGCCAGCTCAGTGCCCAGAGTGATGAAATACGGGATGATGGCAACAATGTCTATCAGGTTCATGATATTTCTGGAGAAGGTGGCTTTACTGGGGCAAGCGAAGAACCGCACCAGCAGCTCGAAGGAGAACCAGATGATGCACAGGGTCTCCACCACGAAGAAGGGGTCCGAGAAGCTGGAGGCTCCAGAGGTGGCCCCCGACGTGCTGTTGTTGGAGGCCTCGAACATGTCCTGCGACGGGGAGGCAGGGTAGTCTTTCTCGTCGCGGAACTCGGGCAGCGTCTCCAGGCAGAAGATGACAATGGAGATGAGGATGACTAGCACGGACACGATGGCAATGCCCCGGGCCGGCCCGGAGCTCTCGGGGTATTCGAAGAGCAGCCAGACCTGGCGCTGGAAGTCTCGGCGGGGCAGGGGCCGCTCCTCCTCCCGCAGGAAGCCCTCGTCCTCACGGAACTTCTCCATGGCCTCCTCGCCCAGCTGGTAGAAGCGGATCTCCTCGGAGAAGATGTCGATGGGCACGTTGACCGGCCGGCGGATGCGGCCGCCGGACTGGTAGTAGTAGAGGATGGCGTCGAAGCTGGGTCGGTTGCGGTCGAAGAAGTACTCGTTGCGGAGCGGGTCGAAGTACCGCATGCGCCGCTTGGGGTCGCCCAGCAGCGTCTCGGGGAACTGGCAGAGGGTCTTGAGCTGCGTCTCGAAGCGCAGCCCGGAGATGTTGATGACCACGCGCTCCCCGTAGCAGTCCTGCTCGCCCGAGGCGGGCAGCGCGGGCGGCAGCGGCTCGTAGCGGTCGCAGCCGCCGCCGCCGCCGCAGCCTCCCTGAGGCTGCTCCCCGCCGCCGCCGCCCGCCGCCTCCGGCTCCAGCAGGTGGTCCCCGGGTACCACGGTCATGTCTGGCGGCGGCTCGGCGCGGCCGGGGCTCTGCAGGCTGCGCGCGCCGCCGCCCGCGGGCTCCAGCGCGTCATCAACATCTCCGGGCTGCGCTTCGAGACGCAGCTCAAGACCCT